ACAAATGCCCCCACAACATTTATGGACCTCATGAATCGAGTCTGCCGCCCATTCCTTGATAATTTTGTAATAGTCTTCATTGATGATATACTCATATACTCTCGAAGTAAGGAGGAGCACAGTCAGCACCACCGTCAGATCTTGGAAACTCTGAGAGCTGAAAAGCTATATGCAAAACTCTCCAAATGCGAGTTCTGGATTCGCAGTGTCAACTTCTTGGGCCACGTAGTCAATGAGGAAGGAATTCATGTGCATTCTTCCAAGATCAAGGCTATTGAAGGCTGGACGATTCCGAAAACACCAACAGAAATCCGGCAATTCTTGGGTCTTGTAGGCTACTACCAAAGGTTTATTCAGAACTTCTCCAAGATAGCCAAGCCCATCACCACTCTAACACAAAAAGGCATACCCTTTAACTGGACGGACAAACAAGAAGCTGCTTTCCAAACCTTGAAGCGAGCCCTATGTAGTGCTCCAGTGCTATCCTTGATGAGTTTTGAGCATTCTAACACTCCTATGGCGTACATGCATACCCCCAGAATGAGATTGGTAACGAAGCTCGACTCATCATTGAACGAACCATGTCCAACAAGGTTAGATTGCGCCTCCCTGCCACACCATTAAGCCGTGGTGTCCTGGGAGGTGTTAATTATGAAACAATTCCACGTTCCTTAAGATAGTCAAGGAACTCTGTACTAAGATACTCTCCTCCTCGATCGGATCAAAGCATCTTAATCTTCCTTCCCAACTGATTCTCCACTTACTGTTTAAACTCTTTGAACTTTTCAAAGGTTTCTGACTTATGCTTGATGAAGTAGATATAATTATATCTACTATAATCATCACTAAAAGTCACATAAAAGCGGTTAGCATCCCTTGTGGCGGGTTTGAAAGGTCCACATACATTTGTGTGTATGAGATCCAATAGACCCTCACCCCTTGCACAAGTACCAGTGAAGGGTGACTTTGTCATTTTTCCAAGTAAACAAGACTCGCAACTATCATCCGACTTTAAGTCAAATGATTCCAAAACAACATCCTTCTGGAGTTGGCCTATGCGCTTCTTGTTGACATGTCCAAGACGACAATGCCACAAGGATGCCTTATCCAAACTAGTGGAAGAATCAATATGCAACACATTATTTCCTAAGTTATCTACAACATTCATAGCTTCATATACACCATTGCAAGGTAATGCTTTAAAATAAAACATATGATTATAAAAAACATTAATAGCACCACATTCATTATCAAATGAAAAACTATAACCTTGTTTGTACAAGCCATGAAAAGAAATAATATTTCTCGCCATTTCAGACAAGTAACAACATTTATTCAAATCTTATGTTAACCCACTACTTAGCAATAAAGAGTAAACTCCAATCTTGGTGACATGTGATGCTTTCCTATTCCCCATGATTAAGATTATCTTCCCGTGCTCCACTTCCTCACTTCTTCTTAGTCCCTGCAAATCAGAACAAATGTGAATTCCACACCCTGTATCAAGGACCCAAGAATTAGTATGTGGTGAGTTATTAGACAATATAGTGTAAATACCTGCAAAGGAGAGCTTAATCTTCCCATCCTTTATATCCTGCAAGTACTTGGGGCAGCTTCGCTTCCAGTGCCCCTTTTCCTGACAATAGAAGCATTGTGCTTCTTTTGGGTTGGAAGTGGGAGTAGCAGAACCACCTTTGGTTTCCATTTGAAGAGGAGCCTTTAAGACACTTTCCATTGGTACCCTTCCAAAGGGTCTTCCTCTTTTTCCCTTATCGATGCCCGATAGCCAGAACAGGGGCAGTGGTAGGAGTAGAAACAACATTTTTCTCTTTGAGGTTGCTTTCAGCAGTCCTCAAAAGTCCCCTGAAGCTTGCTCAATGTGACCTCCTCCTCATTCATGTAATAGGTCATGCGGAACTGATCATAACAGGGAGGTAAGGATTGCAGTATGATGTCAATAGCCAGCTCCTCATCAAAGTTCACATTCAGTTTGAGAAGACGGTCCACAAATCTTTGCATTTTTTGTAGGTGGGCCGTGATGGACTCTCCATCCTTCATCTTAGTTGTTATCATGGAGGCGATTATTTCATACCTCTCTTGACGTACACTCTGATGGTACCTTTCCATCAGATCCTGGTGCATCTCAAAAGGGTAGAAGTCGTCATAGGACTTTTGGAGTTCAGGTGCCATAGTGGCAAGCATGATACAAGCCACCTTAGTGGCATCTTTCTCATGTTCCCTAAAATCAGCAACCTCCTATGGAGTAGCAGATGACTCATCAAGTTCCTTAAGCTCATTGTCAAGGACATATTCCTTGTCCTCATAGCGTGTGACCATTCTGATGTTCCTAATCCAGTCATTGAAATTAGTTCCATCAAAAATGACCCTCCCACAAAGATTCATGAGAGAGAAGGAGCCGGTAGGGTTTGAGCCTGAAGCATTGTTGGAAGACATCTGAAAAGGAAGAAAGACAAGTTTAAATTAGATAAAGAATCCTTAATAAGACACCCAAATGTAATATTAAGGCTAGGACCCAACACAATATTTTATAACTTAGAAGAGGGATGCCGTAATCCAAGCTATAAAATATTTGAAGGTAGGTGAATGACGATTCACCAATTTCCACCCTGAAAAACGAAATAAATTATTAAGTTTTAATGAATTCAAATTCCTAGATTCTTTTGAGATTCATTGAACTTTTCAATGGCATGTTTAAATCTCGATTGTGCCCTCTCAAGTTTGTGATTGGGATGCCGAGGATCACAAACAAGGTGTGAATAACCATGCAAATTAACTTGGTACCCTTAACTTTATCACCTAATCGATGTGCCAGTTAACCACACGTGCTCCACCGATCTATGATAAACATTAAGTTACCCTTTGCCACACTTACTAGTCCATATTAGTGTGTCGGTTAACCACACATGCTCCACTAACGACTTGGTAAGGTACAAAGTGTAATTTCATGGGTTAGCACCAAATTCACATTTTTCCTAAGTTACTAAGATTGGGAATTTATAAACGGTTTACTTAATTTATATTTATCATTATACTTTTAATGAGAATTATAGTCCTTGTCCTACCCGTTCGGCTAACGACTCTTCACCAGTCAAGGAAGCGGTGGGTGAGAGTGGACACCCATTAAGCTGCCATTTTATAGGCAACAACCTTATACCCCTCTTATAGACCGGCTTCATGAATGAGGCCTACTAACGGTAAAACTGACTTGATCTTATATATATATATATATATATATATATATATATATATATATATATATATATATATATTATTAACTTATAATATTATAAAGTATAAGGGTTGAATTTTAACTTTTAAAACTCTAGGGGTTGGAATTAAATTGTGTGTGAGACTTTACAAATTCCAAAACTTGAGGGCAAGTTTTGAAACTATTCAAAAGCTTTTCATTTCTATAACTTATGAGTTTTAATGGTTTTAAAGAAAAGACTTTTTGAATTCCATAACTTGAGGACAAGTTATGGAGTCCATTAATTGGCATTTAGATCAAGAATTACACTAACAAACAATTTGCAAATAATTCCTATGATCTACTAAAACTCATAAGCATGAACATTCATATCAACAAATTTCAAGAATCATATAAACATATATAAAACTTGAATCTTTGATAATAACCTTTGAAAATGGATTAGCATAATCATTACGACATCAAAAACGGATTTTATATGACCAAAACAGTTTAGGGTTATGATTCCAGTCCATTTCCAGCAGCGAAACTCGAAAATCTGCACACAGGGCCTCCTACTCGCCGAGTGCAAGAACCTACTCAACGAGTAGGATGAAGTTTCACTTGGACTCGTCGAGTCCCCCCATGGACTCGGCGAGTTCACTGAACAGTGAGCAGAATTTCGACATTTTTCAGCAATTTGCATCAAGTATAATGAAAATAAGCCTAGGCTTTGATACCACTGATGGGTTTTGAGCATTCTAACACTCCTATGGTGTACATGCAACCCTAGAAACCTTGGATCTATGTTTTCTCTAATATACATGCAAATTTGATTTTTCCAAGGTTCTCAACCTAACTAGCATGTTATGGGGTACTTGTAATATGAAACTTTAGTAGAATAACATACCTTTTCTTGGGGTTGATTGCTTGGAGCTTCAAGAGCCTAACACCAATATTGTGGATGCCTCAAGTGGAATCACAAATCAGCAAAACCAACTTTGAAAGCTTGAGAGAATATAATGCACTTGTAGAAATCGGCCCACCTTTGTTCTCACACACACTCATGCAATTTCAAGTGCCAAAGACTTTTTTATATAGTATGGTGGATTAGGGTTACATCCATGTAAACCCTAATACCCATGACCTTTCATTTCCATAGGATCCATGGGTTAAAAGCTCCATGGACTTCCATGCAAGCTTAGCCCATTCTATATATATAAGAGTCCATATTTAATTAGTCTATTTTGATCACAAAATTAATTCTTGATCAATACTAATTAAATAATATGATTTCATATTAATATATTATAGACAAAATTACAAAAATGGTCCCTGTGGTATGCATTTTTTTGGGGTTTCAGTCCAAACCTCGACTTTTTTGGATTCATGGTCCTTTTGGCCTAGTTTGTACGTAGAAATGGTCATTCGACTTAACTTCCGTTAAGTTATTGCTGTTAACCCCCTCATGTGCATCTCACATGAGGGTATATTTGTCTTTTCACATATAAAGGACCATTTTGCACCTAAAAAATATATCCTTTTTTTTTAAAATAAAAATTAATACCTATTTATTTATTTTAATAATTAAAAAAAAGGTCTCTCTCTCTCTCTCTCTCTCTCGTCTTCCTCACTCTATCTTCCCTTTTCTTCTTCCCAAACACAATTGTTGAAGAAGCATCACCTAAAATCCCCTGTCGAGCATCATCGCCTGTCGAGCATCAAACAAACAAACACACCCTTGGATGGCTGTTTCCGGTGAGATCAAGAAGAGCTACAACCCTTTCGATGAATGCAATTGATGTTCAACACCTCTACAACCCTCCTACAGTCGAAAAAGCACAAACCCAAACACCCCACCTCAATCGTTGTTGCTGCAGCTGCTCTGATTCCCTTCCAAATCGTTGCTATCGATGACGAGAAAGAAACCACGATGAGACTCGTCGGGGAGGAGCCTCGCCACCTCCTTCAGTTATTTATTGCATCTTCCCCCTTTCGCACCTTTCCTTACCGAAGTTGCTGTCGAGGCAATGGGTCGACATCCACGGAGACTAACGACACAATTACCCCACCCATCTTCTCTCAACACACACCCGATTACCCCCACCCATCTTCTTTCTTCTTTTTTCTCACCTGCACACACGATCACAAAAAAACCCCTTTTTTTGAGTTCCAGTTTCAGTTGTCAAAGTTCAACTCATGTTAATTGGGCCTTCTGTAAGCTTTAAAGAAGACAAGCTTTCCAGGCGAATAGGTGGTGACAAAGACGAAGATTTTCAAAACAAAATCAGAGCTGATAACCCTCCCCTTTCTTCTCTGTTTATCTAGGTTCCAAATTGAAGCTTGATTTGTCTCTATTTGCAAATCGAACCATGGACCCACTCGAACCCAAATTTTTAATATTTGCTTCCTGGTTGATTTTTAATTTCAGAACTTGATTTTTGGGTTTTTAACTTGATTTTCTGGTTGAAGTTGAATGTTCGATTCTCTAGTTGAAGTTGATTTTAGATTTCATAAGTTCAAATACAAACCATCATCGCATGTTTGGTTTTCTGTATTTTGGGTGGAGAGAGAGAGAGAGAGAGAGAGAGAGAGAGAGAAACATTTTTTATTTTTTAATTATTAAAATAAATAAATAGGTATTATTTGTTTTTAAAAGGATATATTTTTTAGGTGCAAAAATGGTCCTTTATATGTGAAAAGACAAATATACCCTCATGTGAGATGCACATGAGGGGTTTAACAGTAATAACTTAACGAAAGTTAAGTCGAGGGACCATTTCTACGTACAAACTAGGCCAAAAGGACCATGAATACAAAAAAGTCCAGGTTTGGACTGAAACCCCAAAAAAATGCATACCACGGGGACCATTTTTGCAATTTTGTCTATATTATAACCTATAATATATTAATAAATCATAAATATACTATTTTCAAAAGATTATCCATACAAATTTTTTCGGTGAAGTGCAACCCAAATGGACCATGCTGGGTCGGGTCAAGTACATACCAAATATAGTTATGGACTTAGACACCTTATCCAACAATCCTTACCGGAGGGAACCGAAGACTTCGTAGTATATTGCGACGCTTCGAATCAAGGGTTAGGATGTGTTCTTATGCAGCGTGGAAAAGTGATAGCTTACGCGTCTAGGCAATTGAAGACACATGAAGTAAATTACACCACTCATGATCTCGAGCTAGGAGCCGTGGTCTTCGCCCTAAAGATTTGGAGGCACTACCTCTATGGTACAAAGTGCACCATCTTCACGGACCACAAAAGCCTCCAGCACATTCTAAATCAAAAGGAGTTGAACATGAGGCAGCAAAGGTAGGTTGAGCTGCTAAATGATTATGAATGTGAGATCAGGTACCACCCAGGCAAGGCTAACATGGTAGCCGATGCCCTGACTAGGAATGAATACTCGGGTCGCTGGGTGAAAACATTATCGATAGCCATCCAGTATCACCTAACTTCACAAATCAAGGAAGCTCAATTAGAGGCATTGAAGTCGGAGAATGCCGCAAATGAAACAGTGCGTGGAATGGATAAGAACCTGGAAGTCAAAGGAGACAGAACTTATTACTTCATGGAACGTATCTGGATCCCAAAATTTGGAGGATTCAGGGACGTAGTCATGAACGAAGCGCACAAAACACGATACTCCGTCCATCCAGGTTCCGATAAGATGTACTTGGACATTAAACAACATTATTGGTGGCCAAAACATGAAAGCAGAAATTGCCACTTACGTGGGCAAGTGTCTCACTTGTGCCAAGGTTAAAGTGGAATATCAGAAGCCCTCGGGATTGTTACAACAGCCAGTAATACCCGAGTGGAAATGGGAAAGGATTACCACATATTTCATAACCAAATTGCCTAAGACAACGGACGGATTGGATGCTAAATGTGTGATTGTCGATAGGCTAACTAAATCTGCTCATTTCCTACCAATAAGGGAGACGTACAAAATAGAGAGGCTAACACGAATCTATATAAAAGAAATTATGAGACTCCATGGGGTGCCGATATCTATTATCTTGGACCGAGATAGTAGATTTAGTTCACGATTTTGGCATTCGCTCCAGAAGGCAATGGGAACACAACTAGATATGAGCACTGCCTACCACCCTCAAACTGATGGCCAAAGCGAGCGAACCATTCAAACACTTGAAGATATGCTCCGAGCCTGTGTTATAGATTTTGGAAATAATGGGATACCCACTTGCCCTTAATTGAGTTCTCGTACAATAACAACTATCACACGAGCATTAAGGTTGCTCCTTTTGAGGCTTTGTATGGTCGCAAATGCAGATCGCCTCTTTGTTGGGCTGAGGTGGGAGACACCCAGTTGGCAAGAGAGGGCAAACACCGAACAACACTCTTACAGGACCCGAGATCATTCGGGAAACGATGGAGAAAATAGTTCAAATCAAGGCACGACTTCAAGCATCGCGAGACCGACAAAAGAGCTATGCTGATAAACGACGAAAGCCTCTGGAGTTTCAAGTCGGAGATCAGGTGCTCTTGAAGGTCTCTCCATGGAAAGGGATGATCTGTTTTGGTCGGCGAGGAAAACTAAACTCGTTCGAGATTCTTTCCCGGATTGGTCTGGTGGCTTATAAGTTGCAGCTATCTGCGATGCTCAACAACGTACACCCCGTGTTCCACATGTCGAATCTGAAAAAGTGCTTATCAGATGAAACCCTCTTCGTTTCTCTGGATGAGATCAAAGTAAACTAGAATCTCCTGTTCGTCGAAGAGCCGGTTGAGATAATGGACAGGGAAGTGAAGCGTACAAAACAAAGCCGCATTCCGATTGTGAAGGTTCGATGGAACGCAAAGCGCGGACCGGAATTCACATGGGAACACAAAGACCAAATGAAACAAAAGTACCCTCACCTTTTCTCTAGTTCCTAAGAACAACCTTCAAAAGAATTTCAGGACGAAATTCCCTCTAACGGGGGGATGATGTCACAACTAGCATAGTTGGGGCTAGGAAATTCAGTCTATGTATGATCAACTCTTAGTGTATCTGGTAACTCCAAGATTGATGTTATACATGCTATTCAATTCAAAAACAACTGTTCGAATCAAAACTCACTCGTGAAGCCCAAAACCTAATTCCATACACTACATTTACTCAACTTGGGTTTGTAACCCTAATTTCCCTGTTCAAACGTATTATTGGGCCAGAAATCATTTATTGGGCCTAATGGGCCAATAAACTCTCAATTGGATTATTTTGGGCCAAGGAACCTCATTTGGGACCCAATTGGACCCACATTCATTAAACTATAGCATTATAGGCCTTAATGGGCCTAGAATGTCTCACTTCGTTTTCATGGGCCTTATTGGGCCAAAAACCACACAAATAATTGTAATGGACCGAAAACCCATTATTTTACCCTTTTTGGGCCGTGAACTCATAAGAGGGCCCAATGGGCCGAAAAAATTATTTTGGGCTACACAAATTCGATTGATTATCCATATTGACCCAACACTTATTCTTTTCTCTTTTTCCCCCTTCTCATTCTCGGTTATGTGTATATATATATATATATATATATATATATATATATATATATATATATATATATATATATATATTGTAAAAAAATAAAAGATAATATGGGATTAATTAGAGCATGACACCTCACTAATACCTTCTATACAACCATGCAATACACATCATGTATCTAGACCATCTCATACTTCCATGAAACATCATTTCCCATTCCCCCCTTCCCCCTTCTTAATTCTCGGCCGAAGCCACCTCTCACCACCTCTCCTCACTCAAACTTCTTCAAACATTCTCCATCTTTAACTTAAGAAATTCCTCTTTTCAGCCTTCCAAATTTTCTTGGATTTGTTTATGTGCATCTAGAACTCTTCATCAAAGCACAATCATTCTTGGTAAGTTCTTGTTTAACTCTATGGTTTAACTTCAAGTTTACACTAAAAATCTTCCCTTAAACCACTATTATTTCGTGTTTATGCTACTAGAACTACCCACATCTTCAAGACCTCTTCAAGGAGCTTGCTAGGCCGAAAACATCTTCTTCACTTCTTCAAAAACCGATCTATCACCCCAAAGTGAGTTCATACCCCTTGTTTTCGGATTTATATTGTTTTTGGGGGGAGGATACAATTTGCTTTGTGTTAGATCTATGTGTTTATGTATGTATATGTGTGTTTTTCCATGTTATATGTTGTGATTATGTGCTAAAACCTCATGAAACTCGAAGTTGCTAACAAAACTTGGTGATATTTGCAAACTAAATCATTACATGCAACTTACTATGAAAATGGAAAGTTTAAAACATGTTATGATACACTAGAAAACAATCCAAAACCGTTAAAGGGGCCATTTTGACAAATAAACAAAAAGGTGAAGCCTTTAGGACATTCACGGTTTTTCAAGGACCAAAAGAGTCATTTTTATATAAAAATAAGTCCTAAAGATATTTATGGTTTTAAAAGGGCCAAAAGTGTTAATTTTCACAAAATGGACTTAAATTTGGGCCTTCACGGTTTCATGGGCTTAATTTGTAAATTTTTGACTTTTGTGGATTAAATTGTCATTTTAAATAAATTTGAGCCAAAAATGTAAATTTTCGGTTAAAAAGGGCTGAAAATGACAATTTTATTAAACTTGGGCCGAAAAGGTAAATTTCTATACATTTGGGCCGCAAATGTCAATCTTCATCAAAGATTGGGCCGAAAATGTTATTTTCAACAAAAGTGGGCTAAAAATGTTATTTTATTTAAAATAAGCCCTTAAATGTAAACTTTTGGTCTTAAGGGACCTAAAGTGTCATTTTTTCCAAAAATGTGCCTTAATTGTAAATTTTCGGCTTAATGGGCCAAAAATGTTATCATCACAAAAAGTGGGCCTTTTATGTCATTTTGGTAATCAATTGAGCTAAAACAAACAATGTAATAACAAACTGACTAAATATGTCATTTTCACTTTTATTGGGCCCGGAATATACATTACATGTTTATTGGGCCTTAGTGGTCCATTTACATGCTTATTGGGCCTGGAATATACATTACATGTTTATTGGGCCTTAGTGGTCCATTTATATGCTTATTGGGCCTGGAATATGTTGGGTTTTAATATACTACAACATCCTATGGTGCACATACAACCCTAAAAGCTTTGGATCTATGTTTTCTCTAATTATACATGCATGTGGTTT